TCATATCTATCTCGGGATGCCGCGCGCGTAGAACGCTTTGCAGGTTACCTTTCAAGTCGCCCCGCTTGTCTGAATGAACTTGGGTCCCGCCAGAAGGTTCACGGAAGCAATTACTGGCCCTATGAAGAGATGTCAAGTCGAGTCGGGAGATGTTTCAAACCGGGTTGAAATATCAGAGCGTAAGTGAGACGATCACAACTCGTACTACTTCACTGGAGGCACCCGTATATGTAAGGGCATGGCGATAAATCTGACGCGCTATTTCTGACGGTGATCTTAGTCAAGCCTTGCCACCGCCCTTAAGCTTCATCGCGTCTTTCTGCACGGCTTTGGTCTTATATATGTACCCCTTACAGAATGTGGATCTCGTAACGTCCTGATTATCGTACAAAGCCTTCTCCGGCATCGCTAACACCACAAGTTGCCCAGGATCGTTCCATCCGAGTCCGGGGCCTTGAATTACGCGCTGTGCAGGGCGTTGTAGATGCACCATAGAAGATCGGCATGCCACTCACCTTCTACTAATCATCCTCCGCGTGCCGCTTCATCTGCTTGAGAATCTCTTTCGCCTCCTGGACGTCGTCGTCGTTCCACGGCTTCAACCCATATAAGAGCATGAACTTGTGCCAGCCACCCCACGCCTTGAGCAACTCGTAGTCCGACATGGGCTTCTTGGCAAGTTCAGTTTCGGTTTGCGGCGTTTAGGAACTGGTGGTGCTTGAAGACATCTCTGCGTTGTGTTGCGCGACGAGGAGTGTACTGGAGGGAGTCAGAGTAGGTCTCGAGATTTTGCAGGGGAAGCAGTGGACTCACTTAAGTGCTGGGCTGCGGAACTTGAGTGACTAGGTTAAGCGCGCGTCGAGTGCCAGTGACGCTGACAGTACTGGGATTTTGAACTTGGGGTGAAAGTGTGAAGTTGTGAAATGCAGGGATATATAGCCGGGTCCAAGGCATGATGCATGAATACTTATCAGAATCTGAGCTAGCGCTAAGTTCTCTCAGCGGGGTTCTGAGCTTCGTCCTTCGGTACTAGGTGGCAACACAATAGCAAGTACTAGTACCGATCGATGATCGCCGCCATTTAGTATTCAAATTGCGGCTGCCGTGTACCGGTTTCGTGGCATCCAATAAGCCTGGCCGCACGCACCAATTCGCTCTCTTGCTCGTGGAGTGGAACTGCCCGATGGCCAGGACGAGATATTATCCCGTTCGTCGATGGTCACGCAGGAAAGCGTTATCGTACATTACTTGAAGCTTCTATACGAAAGTCTCCTGAAGAGCACTTCACGCGTTGATCTGATTGCGACCGAGCTCAAAAATCCTTTCTAGGCTCTTGCTCACGACAGACTCGCCATACTTCTGCAGGAACAGTCGCGTGTGGCACGGACGTGCTGCAGCCGAGCAAAGGGTGTCATCCAAGTTGCGTACGCACCAATCTTCGAGCCTCTGCGCTTATAAGGCACAAATAATAGGTCGGAGTTCGAAACGGCGAAACGGGAATTTAAGCTCAAGGCCGAGCCACAACACGTGACTTTCTTCGGTGTGGCCGGGGCTTGGGCATCGCTCTCCTTCTCCGCCGAGTCCTGTGCATATCAGTACGCCTATCCGTATGGGAAATATCAGTCATTCCGTCCGATCAAGAGGTGCTGAAGCCCTGATAAAGCGATCTCATCTCGATCTGGAGCCTTTGTATTCCTGCGCCTAGGCAACGGACGAGCTTCCCCATGCAAGAGAAGGGAGGGATTTAGTCAAGGCAGTACATGTATACAATGCAATAGAGCTGGGAGGAGATATCCGAATTCACTGGTCGCCCTGTCTCGTCCTCTTCTTCGGAGGTCCATCTTCCTTCACGACACGTCTAGGCTGCTCCCTCTTTCCAATCGCCGGCTTCGGTTCCTCCTGCTCCTCCTCGTCGGAGATAAAGGGATTGTCGTTGGCAACCTTCTTCTTTAGCTTCGGCTTCGGCTTCGGCTTCTCGGTAGCAGGTGCGACAGTGGCATGATTAGCTTTGTCCTCCTCTTCAGCGGCACCCGTCGTCTCATCGTCGCCCGAAGACTTTCTCGAGGGGATCTCGGCGTAGTATGTATCTTTGAGCTCCTGGAAGGTACGTGAGGTCCCACATTGTAGGAACAAAGAAAGAGTAATATGCGCACTTTTATGTCGGAGTCTTTCATCAGACTCGTGTTCTTCCATACCTGCGTAGATAGTGTGAGCAATGAAACAAAGCGGGATTCTCGATCGATGTACTGTAGAAGAAATGCCGCTTGGGTGTTTGCTGTCAAGCCCTGCCAATAATGCAACAACATCAGCGAGTCGATGGAAATGCGCCCGTTCAAGCCGTACTCACCGATTGCAGTGTACAAATTTGATTTGACGCCACTCAAATTCATCCCGTGCTTCCGAAGTAATACATACATGACCTGATTCCTGTTAGTCGCGCGCGAGAGACGCACAGAGCGTCCACTCACGTCCCGGACGGCTTCTTCATCGTAGACATCGGGTATGTACAGGCACATGACGTGCTGGTAATGGGGTGTCTCCGTCTGCGGGCTTGTGGCTACTTTCGCGAGGTGTGCTTGAGTACCCGCTAGCGCACCGTAGGCAAGTGACCCTGAACAGAGTCAAGTCACTGTGATGCTGCGAGAAAGGCAAACCACATACTGGCTAGTATCGTCCAGATCTGGTCGACCTTTTGCGGGGGAGCAAAGAGAAGCCTATAGTCCATCAGAGCCCCGTGACGCCGCAGAGCCCGCGCAACTATACCATTTGCCGGAAACAAAGCCGTGCTTGATCGAAATGGCTTTAAGCTTCTCAGTAGCTTCGGCTTGAGCCTGGATTCAGAATTGCGAACTCAAATCGATGGTAAACAAAAATCTGGCTATACTAACCTCTTCACGTAACTCTTTTTTGCTGCGAGCACCCGTCTTCTTGTTCGACCGGGTGGGGATAGCAGGGTCGTTCTAACGACGCGCGCCACGAGACATGAGCTCTCAAATATCTGCCGGCATAAAGAGACGGCTCCACTTTTATCTTCTCGATCTTCTCTGTGATTTCAGCCACTGCAGATGCGCGTTAAACACGGACGCTCTGGGCGTGCGTCAGAAGGAACATACATAGTGCAGAGGCTTCCTCAGTCGCAGCATCGCAATCACCATCCTCTTTCAAGGGATCAGAGCCCTTCACCCATATCCACTACAGAGCAAGTTGGTTTAAGACATTTGCGTTCTCGGGCGCAGGGAGCACTGCCTTCTTACAGGCTTGGTACCGTCGTCCTGAACCATAGACGGTCTGTACTATCAAACACCCCCTGTTAGCTCGGCCAACCTAACAAATGAAGTACGGAGGACTCACCTTCGCTATAAACTTTTCCAGAGACAGCGACGAATCCGCAGACCAGGCGTACGCATACGACTCGGGGAGAGAGTCGTCCTCCTTCGCTAACTTGCTCATAGCCCTGGTACCTGTGCAGCAACCAAGAGTCGCCTTTAGGAGATTGAGCCTAGTACTGTGGCAAGTGAGCACTGCAGCCACAATCGCGTATGGACGTGGACGCATTAATGCAAGTCGCGCATCTTGCTCCTCGTCACACTTTCCTGCCTTGACCGCATAAGGCACCTGGATTCTGTACCTTCTTCCGTTATCAATTCCACTCAGAGTGCAGCGTCGCAGACGCTCTGGCTTGGAACTTTGGCCAATCTTGCATAGACTGTTGCGATTCGAACTGGTTGCGGTCGTTGTACCAGCTGCCGGTATCAAGACGTTTGCATCAAGACACGCCGCGCTCAAGAGCCGAGACAAATTTTTGCTTAGGTTGGGGGTGTGAATTGCATATTTGCGATGGCGAAGTTCATATCTCCGCTAGTGTACTGTTTTACAACTGCCATTCATTATGCTACCTTCCCGCGTCGCTCTTTCACGCTGGCCGTAAGTTTCCCCATCGCTTTACCTTCCCTGTCTTCTTGTCGATGAGTCTTCTGGCGAAATCGGATCTTGGCATCTCTTCTATGAGGCGCTTCGTCTCTGGGGTCTCGATAATTGGGCTGGGATGGCGCATCGGAACGGACGCCTCCCTCGACGATGGATACTCGACGTTCTCGTCTGAATTTACTCCGTGCCTTGGGTCACTGTCGGGCGGATGCCCCGGGTGAACGTCTTTGCGCCAGCTGTCCACCCTGCGAACTAAGCTACCGCTAGGTGGTTCGACTTCCACGGCATCAGGAGCTGCGTTCCCTGTTGGATGGCAATCGCACCTGGGTAATGACTGGATGTCGCGTCCTCGCCCGTCCCCTCGTATTCCATGGCCTGCACCTCTTCTTGCTTGATCCGCTGCTCGGTCGCCTCTTCCGCCTTCCCTTCTTTCCGTTTGCCGCGTCTCGGTGATCGGGCTTGTCTAACTTCAAAGTATTCTTCATATCTGCCACATCACAGATTAATTAACCTCCATGGATGATCAGACGAGTGGCACGTACAGTGGCAAGCTGACTCCCTGCAAGACGACACCCTTCGGATACTTCTCAAGCAATTGGTCAATCATGATATGACTCTTCTGGTTCGCCTTGATGCCGTGTAACTGCAATTAATCTGGGCATTGCACTCTGAGCTTCCTCCAATGTATGACCCGGAGTACGTACCTTGGCCACATACTGCAGGTTCGCCCGTTGGAGTATGCCAAGGTTAAAGCGGTTCATAGGCTGCGCTGTTTGAATGGTGGTCATATCCTCGAGAAATGGAGCGAGGAAGTGGCAGAAGTTGCTCGTCGAGACGCGGTCTAAAATTGGTGAGCTGTCAATGCAGTGCCCAGTCTTTCAGACCCTTTCGATCACGGGATTCACGAAGAAAGTCTGCAGAGTAGAAGGGCTGCCCCCATAAAGGACGGCATTATGCCAAAATGCCATTGTCCTCGAGGAAGCCATGTGCCGTCACGATGATCAATGGAAGCGCGGGTCGGCCAGCGCATAGTTGTGGTCGTTATATAATATCAAAAGGCCAAGTGCTGCTGTGGCAAGATGGCCGAGCGGTCCAAGGCGTGTGACTCAAGCGAATGCTTGCCCTAATTAGGGTATTCTCATCTCGGTATCGGGGCGTGGGTTCAAATCCCACTCTTGTCAAATCTTTTGCGTTCTGTTCACCTCAAAAGTACCAAAATCACTTCTAATGAATCGTAGCCACGCTCCTGCAATTTTTGCTGAAATACAGTTCCGTCTGTGACCCTGTGAAGTTAACTGCAGTCCTCCCAAGCTTGCAATGACGGCTTCGGTTACCCCCCGAAACATCGTCCAGGGCTCAATGCCACCCAATAAAGGAGTGCACTTACATTCAGCTCGGAATATAGACATGATAACGTGGATGGGTATCATGATTCACAAAGACACTGCAACCAGGGCACGGCAATACACTAGCCGCTCCGATTCATAAGCATACATTCAGATTGCAATGGAGGACGATCGTGACCTTCCACACCGAATCGCCCTGGAGGACAGAACCATCAGCTACGGCGTGGTAGACCTAGCGCGCGCTGCAGGAGGAGGCCGCAGACTACTAGTAGCCATCGCATGCGATAAGTCACCCAGCTCATCCGGGTCCTCCTTGACGAGGACCATAGCCATCACGAGTGTCTCTTCCAGCGACTCTTCTTCCTCTTCCGTCTCTGTAACCGTACTAGCCACCGAGGACTCTCGAGAGGAGGCGATGTCCCGATAAGAGTTAGCAGACGACACCACTTTGCGATGAGCCTGGGTACCCCGCTTATCTGCCGGGGGTGTGCGCTGGTCTTCTGCGATGGAAGACCCTGGGCTGTCGGTGCGGAATCGTTTGCTGGTGCGGATGCTTTCGACGTCGGAGTCGGAGGGGGTGGAGTCGCGAGAGTGTTTTCTGCTATCGCGCAGGCCGGAGTTGAGCGGGTCGCCGGAGGATTCTTGCAGCGACCCGGAGCGAGTGAGCGGAACCGCCTCAGGTTCACTTTTGATGGCTTGACTTTGTTTGATACTCGTCTGAATGTCGACGCGGTCGCGACTCCCATTCCGGGATCGTGAGGGTACTTGGAATTCAAAATCTGTATGTGGCAGTGTTCTAAGAGACATGGATAATCAGCATCCTTCAGATCAAGACCCTCATACAGCGGGATGTGAAGCTCACCCGACAATTGTAGGAGCATGAACTCGCCGCATTGTCACTTTTGATAGATCCCTAGCCTCTAGAGCCCTGCGCATCTGGGCTCTGGGCGATGGCCGCCGTGGCGACTTTACCGCCTCAAGGCGGTGGCCAACTCTTTCCTGCCGACGGGGAACAGGCGACGCACTCCGGTCTCTCGCCTCTGAAGGAGCACGTTCAGTCTCCGTCTCCGACTCACTGCCAGACTGAGGCGGCTCGCTGGGCCTGGAGGAGACAACGCTCTTCGGGGGACTGTCAACAGACCCGAGGGACGAAGACCGGTCGCGTTTTAAGGGAAGCCGATCGTATGTCAGGAGCTTCACTTCGCGGTCGTGCCCTCGCTTAGGAAGTGGCTCGTACGCCAGTTTCTTTACTTCCAGTCTACGGCCTCGCGGACGACGAGAAGGCGGACGCTTTTTGACAATGCCTGTTGGTCGAGCATAGGATCGTACACTGTCCGTTGCGCTTATTGAATCAGGACTTGGCGTACGGTCGAAAGCTGATGGCCTACATTCCCCAGGTTAGACAGGCACTCCATACACTAAGCACATAACGTACGGAAGAGGACTCCGAGATCCCGCCTTCCGCTTGCTTTTTAAGCCCGGGTATGGCGCAATACTGGTATTCATCATATCCTCTGCATTCGGCCATACGCCACCCATCTCCTGGAAGTACGCAAAGTACTGCTCCATGCGCTGACGCCGTTCCCGAAGCTTGGCCGTGGCCTTCTTCATGTTCCGAACAGTTTCTTTTCCCTCCTCAACCCTCCTCCGCACTTCCTTCAGGGCGGCGAGCCGCCGCAGCCTGTCATTCACAGCGTCTCCATGATTTATGAGGGCAGTACCCAGCAAGTACTCGTCGCTTGCGGGTGCTTGCGGGTCCGCCTCTCGAGCCCATGGACCGATCTGGCTAGTCCATGTATATTGCGATCTTGTTGACTGCATGGAGACAGAGGGGGCGTGCCCGAGCGCTGAAATGGCATTATCACACATATTCCGGCGTATCCAGAGCATATCAAAGAACGTACATAGTTCTGAGGGTGCAGTTGATCGGGAGTCGCCGCTGGACCCGTATTGTAGCGCTGCCGGGTTCCGATGGGTGAGAGCTGTGATGGCACTCAGCATGCGCAGAGCAAGGTGAGCACGATATAGCCGAGGACGTACATAGTAAGGAGGGTCCGGTCGACCGTGAGCTGTCGGTAGTCCCATACTGTTGTGTTCCTCTTGAGTCCTGCGCTGCCACTTCGTATGCGTTCCTGATTGCGACAGCCAGTGCATTCGTATTATCTGGTGGAGGCTGACTCGGTTCCACGTCCATCTGTACATCGGGTGACCTGATAATACAGCATATAAGAAGTACGGACAGAGGGTGGCATGTGCGGGCAGACTAACTTGCTCTGTCGCATTGGCCTAGCATCTCGTCCCAGATTCTCTGAGCCGGTAGGAGACTGACTTCTCATGGCAAATGCTGGATGATCCATCAGTTAAGTCATGGACGGCGCTCGCGCTGCAGAAAGTGGCAATGTTGAAGGTAGCTGCTCGAGGTGGCCACTGAGACACACTTGGGTGACAATAGGCGCCCATGCCACCGAGGATCCCAAAGTTCTCACGGATTAGTCAGCACGATCTGAAGATCTCGGGAGATCAGCGCTGGCCACAGAGGGTGAGAAGTGATGGGCTCCGATGGAGGTCGCTGAGGGTCCGGTCGTCCTTCCCTGTACATATGTTGAAACCCAGTACCCTAGTCAGAAAGGATAGAGACATGGAAATAAGGGTGTAGCAATAAATACAAAGTTTCTACCTCATGATGAAGATATATGTCGAGCCGGTGAATGCCGGAGGTGACATTTTGACACGAAAAACGGTGAAATGATATGAAGAATTTGTCATAAAAACGCTTTACATCACCCAAGAGAAATATAAGATGTATGTAGGGCCTTATTTTGAGGAATACTGCCTCAGTAGCACTAAAATATATTGAACCATCCATGGCCGGTAATTACCGAGGTGCGGACTTGGCTGTGCGGCAGGCCAAAAATGTGAAAAAGTACAACCGCTAGGACTCGAACGAAGAACTTCCTGAGTGCATAGGATATACGCTACGAGACCCAGCCCACTACACCATAGTGTTTTTGGTAGCGGTGATTCTTTGCCCTTCATGTATAGTTAAACGCCGCTGCCTAAGGGAGAGTCCATACCGAAAGAGGTCCGACTCGGTCGCCGATCGGCTTCGGGAAGCTGCCATTTTGGGCGAAGTTGCCGATTACGGTGACGGGAAACGCCCGCGATGGCGTGAGAACTTTGGGCGCTCTTACTCGCCCATTGTGGGTCCATCTGTTTCCCGAAAGGGTCGCGGCCCGCCGCCTTCCTCCTGCTCGACTAATTTTGGAGTCCGTACTTCAGTATACGGGCACGGTAATTAGATGAATCATGTTTCTGACCTGTTTGGACGAGTCGCCTCTCGGCAGTCTGATGTCCGAGGGTATCTCTTAAGCTAGAGGCACCTGCGACTGTACTTAAAGTAAGCAGGGCTTCGCGAGTTGCTAATAAATTTAGAATAATAAGAACGCAGCTGTTAGAGCTTACCGCACAGATAGTACGATTAATGCAAGTCTCGCTGACCGCGTGACAGGCTGCAAATGTGATCCTACCGCCTAACCGTTTTTGTCTTACCGTTTTCGATTATCTTCGGATTTCCCCGGTCCCTTTTGCGAATTGTGTCGCTTACTGTACAGCTCTTTCTGACTCCAGCAAAATCACCTGCGCACTTCCATAGTTCATAGTGCTCAATATTACATTATTGCCGACGAAGAAACCGCCCGAGCTAATCTGGAACGGATCCGACGCTGGATTTCTGACTTCTTCGTTCGCCTGGAAGATCCCTTTCATCCGGGCAACGACTGTTCTTGCTGGGGGTTGCGACCACTCTCAGCTAGTTATCCTATAAGATCAGCACTGAGTCATCCACATGGCATGTGCAGGAGGTAAGACGGCAACCTCTTCGAAGACGAGTCGCGCCGCGATGCCGACCAAGGCACATCTTGACGTAGATAGGTCGACCGGAAATCATAACCTTAGAACGAAACGAGTGCAATGGATGAATTACTACAGGGACACTTACAATAGATATGCAGTATTGACGATGGTGCTTCTCTGGTATGTAACGGGTAAAATGGATGATAGTGCAAGACTGACTCCGCTTAGGAATAAAGAAACCCCATATGAGACGAACCAGACTCGTACAAACTGGGATACAAGTCCATGCTTGATGCCGGTCAGGACTCGTGTAAATGCCTGATAAAACGAATATAGCAACCGTCGACAGCAGGAGAAGAGTAGGGTGCACGCACTGTCCAATATGCTTGTTCATCTTGAACATGTCGATCTTATCCGCACCAAAGACGGCCTTCAACTTCGCGTCGCACAAAATCTCCTTCTTATTATCCGGGTTCTGGAGTTCGTTGGCCTTGATGTAGACCCATAACTGTTTGACGAGTTGCGGTCGCGACAGCTTCTCAGAGTCGACAACGGCAGCCAAAGGTTCACTACTCCCAGTTAGTCTGGTACATCACTTCTGAAAGGCAGCATTTTCACCTTAATGTGTACTCCTTCGCAAACCCGCCCTTGGCACCCCCACCGCCCCTCTTCTTCTTCGGCGCACCTTCGCTGTCTTCATCCGAATCAACAGTCGCCGAACTCTTCTTGGCCTTACGGGGCTTCTTCTTCACTCCCTTCTGTGAACCACCCCTCGCACTCCTCCCGCGTCCGTTCAGCTCGTTCGAGAGCTGTCGCGCAAGCTCCGCATCATCGAGCTCCTCCTTCGACCTCTTCGCCTTCTTCTTCGGGCGAGACGCCTCGCCATTTACCTCGCTCTCGTCCTCGCCTTCGCCATCATCTCCATACGCAGTGCCTTCCTCCTCCTCCTGTTTCCGCTTCCCATTCGCCGACTCGTTGTCTTC